CATTCTCGACACATCAAAATCTAAGCTGCAGCAAAACTGAGAGCCATCCCATTCTTACTACTAGGTAGTACTATACTATACATAGAGTCGTACAGAGTCTCTATATTTATCTTATTTTGATATTTATTTCTATTTTGAATTTATTACTTCTCTCTCCTTTTTCTTATACGAAGATTCCATAAATTAGGTTAATCAAGTGCAAACATACTATAATCGTCGGCTTTTGAAATGACATCGCTCCCTTTATTTACTATAAGTTATGATGTCCCACACGCTGTAAACACCCAATAGAATGCAAAATACGATTGTTCAATTACAAACGCAGCACCAAATTCGACTGTTTTTTGTGTTGAAAATATGTGGGAAATATGTGGGAAATATGAGTGAGAAAGCATGGTATTCTATTCTAGATCCAGCATGTCTCCTTATATACTGCTAGTAGTTCTTTATGTACAGATTCATATAAATCAAAGGGCAACTATTTACTCAAAAATAACGCTCCCTGCATAATCGTTTCGCATAATGTGTGTGAAATGTTGGTACAACCATAGGTGAAGTAAAACAAAGAAAGAAGAAGAAAGATCTTTAGTTAAGACCGTTTCGGATGTTGTCATACTGGGAGTTGGGGTAGCTCAGCAAGTTCTGAGTGGAGTCCAGGCTTCCAAGCGCTCTGTGGCTGGTGCCAATCAAGGAGTCGGAGCCAGTCTTGTCAGCAGAAGCTTCCCAGAACATGCTGCCTCCCAGGCCGAGGTTCTTGAGGTAAGAGACCTTGGTGTTGATCATGTCAGGGGTATCGAAGGAGATGAGCTCCTTGCTGCTGGGATCATAGCTGTAGTACGCCTGTGCGACAGAGTCGTACTGGACTGTAGCGCCGGCCTTGGGAAGAACCTTGTAGTCCCAGATACCGTTCTCCCAGCTTCCAGAGCCAATTCCACTATAGGTCTGGCCAATGCCACCAGTGCTCTCGAAAGATCGTCCGTAGATGGGCATACCAAGAACGATCTTGCTTGCGGGAACACCTCCCTTGATATAGTCCTTGATAGCTTGATCGGTGTTGTATGGCGAAGAGTTGGGGTTGGATGGGTTGGCAAAAAGGTTGGCATCGTGTCCAGAGTAGCTGCTCCAAGAACCAGCATAGTCATAGGCCATGAGGTTGACATAGTCGAGGACTTGGCCAAGGTCAGACATGTGCAGGAAAGAGTAGTGCTCTGGGCCAGCGGGGGCAGCGATGGAGAGAAGGAAGTGGTAGCCAGGGGCATATTGCGCAGCATAGGCATCGAGCTGAGATCGGATCTCCTTGAGCAGAAGAACCATGTTGGTGGCCTGGGTGTCATCGGCGGGGTACTCCCAGTCGACGTCGATACCATCGAAACCCCAGTCCTTCATGAAGGTGATGGCCGTCTTGGCAAAGTTCTTGCGGTTGGCATCGGTGCTTGCTGCAGAAGGGAAGTTGGTGGACCAGGTCCAGCCACCGATAGAAAGCATAACCTTCAAGTTGCGGTTGGCCTTCTTCAACTTGAACAGCTGCTTCACACAGCCGTACGCATTGTTACCGACGTCATTCCAGGCTGCCGTAAAAGTTAGTATATCTGCACAGCTCAGAAGCAGGAGAACAAAGGGAGTAGAGCTATCATACAATCGTCATCATAGTGCTTCTGATAATCGGCGTAGGCATCTCCAGAGACGCTACGGGTGAAAATATTAGCAACTGAATACGGGAATTAGAATATTTTGACTCTTGTCTTCACAACTCACACAGTGCCATCTGCTTGGAAATTCATGAACGAGTAGATGACATGAGTGATGTCCGACGCAACCAGATTCTGAGGCTGGAAGTTGCGGCCGTAGATACCCCTTAAATCACCAATAGTTAGCCCTGGTTCTAATGACTCCGAGGTAGCTTCACTTACCAGTTGGTGAAGTAGACGGCGTTTGCATATCCGCTGGCTCTCTTCTCAACAGAGACGTCGCTTGCAGTTACGGGAGATGCAGAGGTGAAGGTGGCCTGCAGCGCAGCAAGCAGGGCCACGGACTTTCCGAGGAAACCCAACATGGTGAAGTAGGTATTTGAGATTCAGCAGAGTTTGTCAAGAGATGCTTTGGAAGGAAGAAGTTGCTACTGAATGGAGCTCTCCAAGTTGCTGCTGCTGGAGGGAATTTTCATCCGAAGTGCTGGAAGGATATGCAGCATATTTATAAGTGATTGTGGACCCTCCTATTGTTCAACGAAATCTGAAGTTGACTTATGAAGCTTCCCTTTCGGGTTCTTAGCACGAGTAGGTATGTAACCCATGCTTTGCCAATATGGTCAATCGCAACGTTATGCTCACTTCTGCTCTAGAATAGTGCCATCGTGCAAGAGCTTGTGGCCCCTGTCCCGTGCCCAGGGCTCGGCGGCTGTCGACTCGTAGAATTCCTTAATTCCCCAGATTCAGAAGATAAGCATATCAGGGGATGCCCCGGCGCAATATCACTCAACTATGCCGCACCTCGCCAAGTCTAGCAACGTTGCTGGTGGTGGCATTTCTCCGATATGCTTATACTGTAGTAGAGCACCCGACTTCCCGGGGGAAAGGGAATGTCTCAGGGGCCCAGATCCCACGCGCGAAGCGAAGCGCCATCCCATTCCAACAAGTCACAGCTTGCGAGAGGCTGCCCATGCGCCTGATCTGCTGCCAGCTGCAGATGCCGATTGCCTTACCTTGCCTGTGCATCTGGTGATGCGCCTCGCAGCCGCCATGATGTGCATCTTCGCATAGAGTTCATCGCCATTCGCAAACGCCGGGAGACTCCAAGATTGACTCGTCTACAACGTGGTATTCTGACTTCTGATACTCGCTGCTGCCCATTCCGCCACTCCGTTATCCTCCAGAGCGTGAGCGTGAGCGTGATCCATCAGCCATGGGCCCACCGCCGCCATACTGCAAGTACAAGTACTAGATGAGGTTCGTCCAAGCCGCGCCAGGACGCCGCCAGCTTTCCTTTTTGGGCAGGAGATAAAAGGGCTCTGCGAGACCTGCCTGGATAAGGCCCCGAGGCTAAGGACCCAGACCCCTGCCGCAGGTTCCCATCTCGTACATATAGAGGCAGTCTATAGGCTTACGTTAGTAGCCTTATCAAAGGTGCTGTTTCTGCTATACCCCGGAGAGGAAGCAGCCGATGCAGCTACGTGGGGGGGACAAGAGCGGGCGCCTGCGAAGAAGAAGAAGGAAGGACTTTAGGTCGCAGTCAACGTGATCTCCTCACAGCAGCCCCATGGGGAGCTCTGCAGGAAAATAGAGACAGCGCCTGGAGCATCTTCTGTGAGTAGCTACGGTATGGAAATAGGCGCCTTAAAAAAAAGACCTATGTGGGGGGATTTCACGACATGTGCCGGACCCAGATGGGGTACTATGCCTTGGTATTAGATGCCCAAACTGCTTAGACATATATTACTAGGTAGGTATTACTGCTACTGCTACTAGGCGGGTAGGTGCTTGTTTTCATTCCGATTTAATGCCTTCGAACAAGCTTAGTGGCCCTGGAAAGCATTAATATTCAGGATGGCCTCTACCTTTTACAGGGTGCCCAGCAAAAGTATTATGGTGGGGGAAGTGAAACAGCACCTGGTTCTTATTAGCTATCGAGTCCTGGCAAGCGCTATGGGAATGGGGGAGCACAGAAGATGACCCAGCCTAAAGGGGCCGATTTAGCTACGTGATTTAACTGACAAGCGGTAGTCTGGCTAAATTGCTGTTACCTACCAAATAGGGAATCGTCGTCTAAAGGAGTTGCTTGCCTGCGTCAGGCGGAAGTATAAGTGGCGGCCGGCGCGAATTAAAATGCGATGTAAGCTAGTAATTAAGGTAAACATTATGCTCTTACACGTTAATATGGCCCTTAAGTGGTGAGCTAAATAGCCGTTATGCAACCCTGCAATTATCACCACACGGTCCTAGCATTTAACCCGTTGCTGAGAAACTAAGCGACCTACTTGGGTAGGTACTATACAGCCTACATATTAGGTAGTAGCAGTGATGATGGTGGTGGTGATGATGGTGGTGATGGTTGTGGCACTATTGCTACTGTACCACCTGTTGCTATCTACCTATGTATTCTCAATAGATAACCCTATCAGGCAGAGGATAGAATCACGGCCTCTCTGTTCGTAGAGTCCACAATATAGTCAGTCCATAGCGTTTTAAACGATGACAGTTAAACCACCGTCCGAGCAGTAGATGGTGGAACTGATTACTACTACCTAGTAGTAACGAGCCCTTACTGTATCAGCCTACCAAAGTTGCCAAGTTGCCTACCTACCTGGATATCTTGGTTGCAGTAAGAGGTAATAGTTCAGTAGTGAGCACGCCTACCTACTACCTAAGGTAGGTATGTTCTCACGCGTGCCCAGATCCTAAAGCTACTAGGTACCTACCTACTGTCCTTAAAAAGTCTTATACACGTGCTTGCATCTATCTGCAACCACTTACCTTCCCGTTCTCAGCTAGCACAAAACACCAGACACTAACATGGCAAGCGTATCCCTACAACACCGAGATGACATCTCGAAAGGAAAGCGCTTGTGCGGCAGTCCTCGACAAAAGAATTGAGCAACAGCGCGCATGTGATGTAACATTGGCTGCCAAAGCGGGCAAGAAGAGCATACAACATGCCTAACTCTATCTTGCCAGCAACAATCATGTTTCTCCTTGGCCGTGAGGCTTCTCACCCTCTCCCTATAATCATCCCCCCACCAAGTATCAAGGTAAGGTATCTGTGGCTCTCGTGGCTGCAATGTTGAATTAACTGGTGGTCGGCTGAGCATCACACAGCCTTGTATTATTACGGAATTAACTGCTAGGTATTCAGTGAGCTAGTTTCTTGCTGCCAGGGGCATTCGCAACAACCATTTCCATGTGTCGTCAATTAGGCAACAGCATTTACACAAGCCCGCCTTCGCCTAGCTGGAGCGATTCAAAGACCGCGGTGAGTGGGCCAATTGGCAGCGCTTGGCTTAGGCCATGACTTCTTCATCGGCCCTCGAGTTAATGACGATTAAGGCGGTCTATACTCGGCATGAAGGACAGAATCCAACAAATGTCACCTGCCTATTTCCCAGATCTGACTCTGGATATGGGTCAATAGATGGAGGTTCTGCAGACTCACCAATCTCGCCACACCACTCTAGGGGCAATTTTGTTTCGCATAACGATGAGCATGAAATTGTATCACACCATGGCCCAGGAACATCAGCTGAGAGATCCGAGGATGGGGCTCCATGCGCTACACCAGAGCAACTACCGAAGCTCTCTCAGGCCTCGCACTCAGGCCTAGCACTTCATCGCCAACTCCTTGCGTGGAAGCCACAGCAGTTGAACCTGGTGTCCAGTAGTAAAGATGCCACGAGCACGCTCCCCTTTCAACAGAAATGTGGCGGTGGAGGCCTTCGTACGCCAGACAGATTTGTCCCTTGGCGTGACAGCGATGAGCCCAGCAGGCAGGTGTATCAGACAACAAAGTCTTTCCAAGACCTCTCGCCGACCGAGAAGTTGCTGAGAAGAAAGAGGGCCCCTTTAACTCCATTCTCAACGCTTTCACGTCCTCAGCGACCCCAAACACATGTCTCTGACGAAAGTCGCGCAGCATTGGCTGGTCAGCCCCAAGGCCGAGGTCTGTCCAGCTCCCCAGGGTTAGGTGGTGGAGGTAGAGCTGTGGAGGCTGGTTTGCTGATCGAGATCGATAGCGAGGAGCCCTTCTTCACGCATCTACTCGACCACGAGACAACCAAGCCAAGGCAATGTATGGATAGTAGGCGGCCTAGCTCCTAGGACGGATACGGTGGAAATAGATCGTAACCATCGTCGACCAGCTCGAAGTAGCACATCAGCTCGTCTCTTCACCATGTCTGTGAATACAACCAAACCCACCCGCCGTGATGATGATTCGCATATTTACCACGGCCGCGTTGCATCTGCGCTAAGGATTGACCGCATTCGCCGAGTACTGGACTTTACCGGCTGCCAGTCTGCTGCCCCTAATTTTCCCATTCGCACAATGTCAATGTTAGCAGACCTGGAGCAAGCTTCTTGGACAAGCGCTGATGCTGACAACGATCTATATGAAACTCCCCGTGAGGCCATATTCGCAGTGTTTATACCAAGCAAGATAGCAATTACTAACTGTTAGTGCCCAGGGAACTACGGTCCGTTGCCCCGTCGGTCTCTTCCTGCGACTCCTTTCCGGTAATTGATATTCTAAAATAGCTCAAAAGGTTAATCGGCTGAAGCTAATGCATGAAAGGGTTCTCGATGCTCCGGACCTGCGCGATGACTTCTATTGCTCCGTTTTGGCCTATTCACCAGTCTGCCAAAAGCTCGCAGTCGGCCTCGGAAATGTACTATACGTCTGGTCTGAAGGAACTGGGCCTCGGCCTATGCATGGATCTCTTTCGCATAACGTATGGCTGACATCGGTGTCCTTCTCCTCTGTTCAAGGGGGGAAATGCATCCTAGCTATTGGACGTTCAGACGGATCCTTGGTGCTCAAGTCCATCTACGATGGTCTCCCTCGCTTCCAGGTACAACAGCCTTTTCCTATATCTTGCGTGAGCTGGCGTCCGATAAACTCCCTGAGGCCTTCTAGGAACCCATTCAACCCCGGTATTGCCGTGCAGACTGAAGATCTGATTGTCGGCGATGATACCGGCGCCATATACTACTATGTAGTAGAGTGGCCAATGAGCTGGGAGGTTACGCGAGATACCTGGCCTGGGACAATCTATCTCAATGCCAAAGTTTCACTTCATAATCAGCAGATATGCGGTCTGGCCTGGTCCCCAAACGGGAAGCTTTTTGCCTCTGGAGGAAACGATAACTTATGCTGTCTTTTTGATACAGACAGTTTGCTTGTTGAAAAACAGGAATCCGTCCCAAAAAGCTCGCGTTGGTTGGGATGGCATTTGGCAACTGAAGGCACCAAAGCGGGTTATGTTGACCAGACTAGAGGCTGTACATCGTCTCCAGAACAACCGTTCAAGCGAGATAATGCCATTGACTAGGAGGATACAGTCGATGTACGCCCTGCAAGACCATTATCCACCCCAATTCGGAGGCTGGGCCCCGGATCAGAGAAGCATCGTTGGATACACAAAGCTGCAGTCAAGGCCATTGCATTTTGCCCTTGGCGCGAAGGACTGGTTGCAACGGGTGGTGGGTCTAATAATAAATGCATCCACTTCTTCCATACAACTTCAGGCTCAGCTTTAGCCTCCATTGCAGTTTCAGCTCAGGTGACGGCTCTTATCTGGTCATCGACGAGGCGTGAGATCGCTGCTACCTTTGGATATACAGAGCCAGAGCATCCATATCGCATTGCCATTTTCAGCTGGCCAGAATGCAAGCAGGTTGCAGCAATCCCATGGGAGGGGGACCTTCGCGCTTTGTACGCCATCTCTTACCCCAGATGCTTGGTAAAGTCAAACACAATACACCCCGATCGAAAAGCTCGCGAGGGATGCATAGTTGTTGCTTCAAGCGACAAGAGTGTGAAATTCCATGAAATCTGGTGTAACGAAGGAAAGATCGTGGGAAGGGGAAGGGGGATGCTGGGGGGCAGTGACATTCTCGAAAGTCTCGAGGGTATTGACAAAGAAGGAGATGTAATCCGGTGACGTGCTTGGGTTTGGTATACAATAAATGCAAAACAGGCTCACCGTGAAGCGAATTCTAGATTGCAAGAACAAGGACCACTATCAACCCTATTTATATAGTACTATTGTAAGAAATAAGTTCCTCTCTGAATGAAAAGCAGAAATCCGATAATGGTGATGATTATGTGAGTAATCTATGGGCTTAGTTTACGCACCAAAGCAAAAGCAACCCGAATATCACATCCAAACATGTAACGATTCAGAATCAATTGATTTCTCCAACGCCAAGCCAACGCCAACGCCGATATTGTTATGATACTCCAGCAGTGATATATAGCAGTAAGATCATTTCAAAATAGCGATTAGCAGCACAAGAATAATAATGAGAGCGAAAATAATCGCTAGTTGCTTGTTATCCGAAGCACTTTTCGCGACTTTTCCTAGAGCCTTCTTGGCTCGATCTAATCGGCTGGAGTGGCGATCAGTAGCTTCGTCAACCTCTTCCAAAATAGCCATGTGGCTTTCTAGTTCATCACCAATTCGCATACTGAGTTCCCGCTGCCGCCCTATGGACTCTCCTAGGCGATCAAGGTGATCATCTTGCTCTTGCATAATCTGTGAATGATATGCGTGTATTTGTTGGTTGGATAATCCAGCAGCGTGGTCACTGTAGCCGAGAGATTCGGAAGAGGCGTTCGGGTCATCGCGGTAGCGGCCGAATAGCTCCTGAGTTGGTGAAGGGGGGTTTTCGCTGAACCGTACGGATTTGGGTTTACGTGCAGATCGGTTGGCGGATGACGAGAGTTCATCTGCTTCTTCGCCGGGTTCTTGAGACAACGAGCCGGCAAGCGAATGGTACTGAGATATTAACTCGTCAAACTGTTTATGCAGTCCCGGAAGAGATTCAGTAATGGCTTGGGAGGCCCTGGTGAGGATTAGTAAGAAAGAGAAGATAAGCGGCAAGTATCGCAATCATGTAAATAGGTATTTATGCGGCTGAGAAGGAAGACAAACACTTCATCGCCGGCCTCTTGGAGGCGAGCGCTCTCTTGTTCTAACGAAGCAATGCCGTTTCGCAGCTGGTCGAACGAGCGGGAGACGTCGCTATTGTGGGAGTTGTCGTCGGGATCGAGATTTTGAGCACGCTGCCACTCGAGCAGCGATAGCTTTATATGATCAGCTAGTAAAAAGAGCTGCGACGGGTTAGACATTTTGCGAATGTTCCAGAGGGCTGTGCAATGGGAATTGAACAGAAGCCCTTTGAGGTGTGTACTGCACTCCTCACAGAGTGTCGCTGCTGGGCGGTACTTTTGTACCTACTTGCGACGTCCGTTTAAGGTTAGCCCAGCCTCGGTCTGGGGACGCAAAGGTGCGCTAAGCTCCGCTGCTAAATTTCCATACCACAACGTCATTTGGTCTCACTTACATACGAGCTTCAACACTAACATGCTTGTCGCTATTTCATCCCTCGAGCTTCAATCTGGACAACCTTCCGCAGGCCTGCTGGACCTCCGTCTTCCAGTAGCATGAGCGTCGTCCTGCCGGGTAAGCCGCAGTCGAGACTTCAAGGTCTGGCTATTGGTTATTGGAACAGCCTACACTTGAATGTAAGGCCACCGTCGTCTGCGACGCGCGAAGCTAGACCTTGGACGAGCCCTACTAGACGCTAACATGACAATATAGGCATATATTACTGGAAATGCATTTACCATCCTTGACGGACTACAAACCATTATCCAAACCATATACGACGAAAATGACGAACCTCTACAGGCAATAGCCATCGACGAATTGATGGGCAAGATCGCTACGAGCACAGCAACGCAAGTTCGAGTCTACAAACCACTTGGAGGGCTACAGGAGGATGCTCCAAAGGTCACTTCGCCCTGGTATTTCCCAGCGTTTGTGATTATTCGAGCTCACATGTTAGTAGTGGGCACTACAACTTACCTTTGACATCCCTCGCGACGACTCAGAAACAGCATGCGCATTGTCTTGGGGAAGCTCGGAGGAGCTCTTGGTTGCTGGCAACTATTTGTCTCTGTTTTCCACAGGGGAGCACCCGGGCCGATCGTGGGAACAATTGCTTCCCAGCCCTGCCAAGATAGCCACGCTGTCATACGACTCGGCGTACATTGCATCCATCGGTCATCATGATTACTTGGCCAAGGTCTGGCGCCGTTTAACTTATGGCTCCGACGATGTTCGATTTGACGTGGCCTACCTCCCTCACCCAGATGTCGTTACCAGCATCCGATGGCGCAAACCATTTCACATCGAGCAAGCAACGGGCAACGTTTTGTATACAAGCTGCCTGGATGGTTACATGCGTGTGTGGATTCCAGTAGACACGCCACAAGGCTGGCAATGGCAACTCTGGGGTAAAATCGACATTACTGAGTCAATACCGAACGACACCTCTCAGCAGGGACCATGGTTGGCTTGTATCATCGACGGGCGAGATTTCACTGCTTCCGTGGAGAGAGCCATCGAGCAACGAATGGCAGATGATAGCAGTACCGACGACGTAGCGCTAGACCATTTGGTAGCTATTGCAAATCGAAGCCCCGAGATTTGCCTTGCCATGAACCGATCCGGGTTTTTGACGGCTTGGGCTCTGGAAAATGTCGGCAGCACCTCGACCGACGACCGCCAAATCTTCAATATTGCTCAAACAATATCACCAGGATTAGAGAACCTATCTAGCCTTTTAAACCCGGATGATATTTCGCATGTGCAAATTGAGACATACTGCAATCGGAAAACTGGACAGCTGCGGATACTGCTGCACATTTTTGACGGCAGGATAGCTATTTTTGAATGCAGTGCAGCAGATTTATTTGATCCCACGGCCAACGATAAGCGATTGCTACTCCATTCAGTATGGTCCGGGCATTCTGCTTCGATTAGGAAAATAGTGCGCAATTTTAGCGGTCGAGCTGTGGTGTCGAGAACAAGTGATGGCGAGACCATTGTTTGGGAACATTCGCCCACGAAGCCAGTTGGGTCCTCTCACGGCCCTCTTGATTTCAGTCGCCGGAGCATCATCCCGGAGACTGAACATATTCATCGCATTTGCGTCCTTCGTAAAGGCCGATTCGTTGTCTTCCTCAGAAAAACTGTCATCTCTCTCTGGGACTGCCGACGTGAAAAGGGAATCAGCCTTGCTCATACTACGTATGAGGCACCGGGAGTTCCTCTTTGTCTCATCATTTTGCCCAAGCCACAAGATGCAGACTACAGGACCGCGCATATCGCCATGATAACGTCCAAGGGACGTGGTATTGTCTGGGAGCTCAGACTTCCCAACTATGCCAAGGATTCAGCAAGTACTTTGGACGTCGGTATCACTGAATTTAGCCAGGTTAACCTCAAGGCTGTTGATGATTTGAAGTATGTTCTTCCTGTTGACCCTGCTGGCTCTGGACCTGTATCATCTGGCTTCCTGGATATTTTTGCCCGTGACATCGCCATGTCCTGTACGCAAACCGGCCGAATCGACCTTTGGACAGCTCGTGTCGATCTAGAACGCAGAAAAGTTGATTGGCTATCAACATGTAGTACTGAGACAGGATTTTCAGATCCATCGCTAGCTAGTGGTAGCATGCTCAAGAAGGCTGCTATAGCAAGGTCAGATGGGTCGAGGCTTGCCATATGGGATGTTGGCGGAGCTCGTCTTGAATTTGACCAAGACTATCAGCTACAAGATTCCATTCAAGACCTTGATTGGACGTCAACTCCCGATGCTCAGTCCATTTTAGCGGTTGGTTTCCAATATCGTGTCCTCCTCCTATCACAAATGAGATTCGATTACTTAAACAAGGGCGCTGCCTGGATACCAATTCGCGAGATCAGCATTCGTGAGCTGACACCTCATCCGATCGGAGATTCAACTTGGCTAGATAATGGTTACTTGCTTATTGGGGCCGGCAATCAGCTGTTTGTCCACGACCGACGGGTTAGTGTCGTAGAATCCCTTACTACTGACCTTCGACTGCCTCATCTTCAAGACGGCACATGGGATCTGTTTGAAGCAGTACAGAGATTTAACGGCCCCCTCCCTGTTTTCCATCCTCAGTTTCTAAGCCAATGCATCCTCGCAGGAAGGAATGAGCTTGTGCGACGAATCCTCGTGGAACTTCATAAAACATTAAAATTCCTTGTGCCAGGAGAATCTGTGGATAACTACCTTGGTATACAGTTGCAGGAATTTTATCAACCAACTGCTGTATGAAAAGCCACCGTTCCATCTATCAAGCCTCATTCGCTAACCGTATACCTAGGAAAATGCCAATCGAGCACTTCACACAGGTTTTGATTTTTCAGACAAAGCCGTCGACGGAGAAGATACTGAAATCTTTACTGAAGAAATTGCTACATCCATTAACGAGAAGCTGACTCGGCTAGGCGTCCCCCAACTCTCTGGTCATGAACAGATTCAGCTCGTAGATATGATTGAATGCGTAGCATTGGTTGAGCGAGAGCGCCGATCTATAGACGAGAATGGGGCTCGCTTTATGCTTTTCTTCCGACAACACGCACTTCGCAAAGGACGCACAAATGAGATACAGCTTTCTTGGAGAGAAATCAACTGGGCATACCATTCTCAAAGCCAAGATATTCTGGCTGATTTTGTGACTCGGCAGAACCATAATGTTATGTTATGGGAGCACGCTCGCGAGAGCGGTATTTTTATGTGGCTTACTGACACACAACACTTGGTTTGTAAACCGGTTCGAAGAGAGTGGCCAGAACAGAGTCATTAACTTTGGAATAGCAACGACAATTCGAAGCGGTTGCCAGAAACGAATATACCAAGGATGGAAATAGAAACCCAGTCAACTGTAGCTTATTCTACATTGCGCTTCGCAAGAGAGCAGTACTCCAGGGGCTTTGGCGTATGGCCGGCGGTGACAAAGAACAAATCACTACTCAGAAGTTCTTGGCTCATGACTTTGAGGAGCCAAGATGGCGTACAGCGGCATTGAAAAATGCATATGCTCTACTTAGCAAGCGACGATTTAGTACGTTGAAGCTATTGATACCTTACTAAAACACAATGGGTTTGGTACTAATGTCGGCAAATGATAGAATACGCGGCAGCTTTCTTTCTATTAGCTGACCGGCTGGAAGACGCTGTCGAAGTCTGTCTCCGCCAGTTGAAAGATTTACAGCTAGCCATTGCGATCACTCGCGTTTATGAGGGCAATGACGGCCCTGTACTACGAAAAGTGCTACGGGAAGAAGTCCTCACAGTGGCGTCGCATGAGGGCAATCGCTGGCTTGCATCTTGGGCCTTCTGGATGCTGGGCAGAAAAGATATGGCTGTGAGGGCGCTAGCTGTCAGTATCACCAGCTTTGGATTTCCTCCCTTGAAAATTACAGAGCTATCAGCCCGTGAAAATAATGCTAATGGATATGCCAGACTCCTATATACACTCTCCTTGAAACGCCTTCCTCACCAGACCTGAAGTCTCGATCGTTCTTGGCCGATGATCCTGCTCTGGTCGTCCTCTATTCCCAGCTGCGGCAGCAAACACTACAGACACTGCGAGGCGCATCCAAAGTGTCGCCCAAAGTCGAATGGGAATTTGTTCTTCACAGCGCGAAGCTGTATGATCGCATGGGCTGCGATCTCCTTGGCCTTAGCTTAGGTACACACTCTCGAGCTTCTCTTCTTTTATGCAGGTGAACACAGAAGCTAACATGAGTATTCTTATAGTTCGCACATGGGAATTCCAAAAACAGACAATGCCTAGAATCGGGGGTGATATGAACCCATTGACGCTCCTGAGGCGAAGAAGCTCGCTCGTTGTCAACGACCTTCATACATCAGAGTTACACGCCAAGATATTGGCCGAGTCTGAACAGGTCAAGCACCCTGTGGCGCCACCTTCGACCTTTCACGAACCAGATGCCGCGTCATTGCTTGATAGTTTTGGCTTATAGAGTAGTGAGCCGCATGCCCTGTATATTTGATAAATGTTCTGTCGCAAAGACTTGTTTCTGCGCGATAGAATCACAGCCCGTGTCTAATTTACGCATTCATTATTTTCACACACACCAAAAAAAAAAGTCGATATACCAAATATGTGGTTGGTATTCATAAATCCTAAGCTGTTCATGCCTGTCGTTTTTAACATTCTGCATTGCCTCCATCGCCTTTAGTTATGATAACAGTATTAATGAAGCCAACAGGCCTCCTTATAGTATCAATGCAAGTCTAGTCGCCGTAGTCATCTTCTCCATCTCCTCCCTTGAGGTTCGCATCCTTTCTGATCGGGATCTTAATTCCTTGCGCAGCAAAAGCCTTGCTCAACGGCGTACTCTCGCAAACCCCAGGAAATTTCTTGGCAGAATAAACATTAAATACCTCGCTGAAGCAGGACGCCAATATCGGAGCCCTTCCAGTATTTACTCTTGAGCCATTCTGTGGCATTCCCCCGCGTGCGGCAACGTTGACAAAAGAGAATCTTAAGCTGTCCAGACAGTTAGCATCTCTACTACTATGGATGGATTGGAAACAACTTACCGAAATGGGCCTTCTGTTCGAACACTAAGATCTTGCAAGACAAACCAAATGCCTATACGCTCCTCTGTATCAGCCAGTCGAAAAGCGCTTGCGGCTAAGCTTCCGATGAGGTTTCGTGTGAACATGCCCTGAGGCTGCCCACCCACCACAGCCATTCTCGTCAAGGAGGTCGAATCTGGCAGATATCCTCTGAATGATGTAACGCTTGCCTGTGCTCCTGCGTCTGAGCGGAAAGGCTGAGACTGGTGCTGTGGGAAATACTGCTGTGGCGGGCCATATGAGCCGCCAGGGGGGTATGATGAAGAAGCTATAATGACAAACGAGATGAATTAGCCTTGGCTGTTTCATGGAAGATATGTGATGATGCTATTGTTACCTTGTGTGTAGTTAGGCTGAGGCTGATAATCCGAGGCGTAGCTCCCATTCTGTGGCGGAGGGTACGCCGCGTCCCGGCTCGGAGGAAGGCTGCTTTGTCCATAGGCTGACTGGGGGCTCTCGCCGATGTATGCATATGGTGCTGTGGAGGAAATTGACGGGCTGTTGGTGGACGAGCGAACAAGATTGACTTCTCGGGTGCCGTCTTCGCTCCAAAGATCGACATTGAGTACAAACATTGAGAAATCGATGTCACTGTTGGCGGATTAGCTTTGTTGACCCAATACAGGAGCAAATATATTCAGTCGCGTCAAGCCACACGTACTTGCTGTCTATCTCTTTACCCGTGGCTATGTCGGTGATGACAAGCCGCACACAGGGAGGTGGTGTTATTGGTCGTCGATCCTACAGAACCATTAGTGGTCTCTTGACAGTGCATTCTGCTTATGGAGGGTGAAATACTACCTTGTCTCCAAAGCCGCACATGCGGGCTCGTCGAGGTTGTTGAGCAACATCAAGGCTTGAAGACTTTGTTAGCTTGATCTAGCTACTGAGAGTGATGACGGCATAGAGGCAACCAACTGATATCTGCGGCCTGTCGCCTCGTCTACTTTTGAAAAGGGAATCAACATGTTCGCTGTCCCCATTTGTTGTGCTTCAGAATGAATCAAAGTGCTAGCCGGCATGTTTGTGAAGAGTTCGTGAGGTCTATGCGGGTGATCAAGGAGACGTTGAGATTGATCCTTGTGTTCGCCAACATAGTGTTGTTGATTCGAGTGACTGGGTTCGGATGGATCTGGCCGCGGCGGCAAGGCATTGTGCTGGACATGCTGTGAGTGAGGCGGTGGCGGTGGATGCGTGTCGTAGGGAGCTTGCAGAGGAGGCAGCTGCTGTTCTCGGTCTAGATGCGGCGGCTGGTGATACGAATAGTGGTGAGGCTGAGGATGAAGGTGTGGTGGAGGAGCCTGGCTCTGGATCGGAGAATGGGCAGCACTGTGTGGATGGCGCAGAGACGGCTGCGGCTGATGGTGATGATACAGATGATCTAGAGCCGCCGAGTTGGAGGCCGAGCTTGGCGGTGCGATTGGAGGCATTGCCAGTGTCGGGCCATGGCCGCCGATGGGCACCTGCCGGGGCGCATCCGAGCCGTAAGCGGAATTCATGATTTGAAGACGTCCAAGTCGGATGGCATAACTGGTGGAGATCGCTGGATGAAGTGACAGACAGAGCCTCCGAGTCTGGTAGGGATGCAGGACTCTAGTGAGCTGCCTAAGCTATAAGCGGGATAGCGAGCCCGACGGAGATGATCCCCAAGTGGCCTCGCTATGATGGATGTGATAGAGATGGGAAAAAGATTTAGTGGGAACTTGGCCCGCCAGGTCTTATAAAGGTGCCGCTAGTGATAATACTGCGAGAGAGTAGTATTATATATTACATAAGACCGCGCTGCTGCAGTCTGAATAATATTAGACGGGCTTATATAAGACAGTGAGATATATACTATAAGCAGTAAGGATTCACTTTTAATTACTGCATATTCATGTATCTATTTATTAGTATATACAACCATTATTAACAATAATTACGCTTTGGTAAAGAAAAAAATCTAGCCATTCTATATATTTCTTCGATTCAATTTCGATTTTCCTCATATATATGTATACTAGTACTAGTCATAGTCTAGCAAGTAGTATTGCTACATTCCTACTTCTTTGTAGGATCCGCTAAGAGGTACTAACAAGATACCCGCTATAATTAGAGATTGGGTTTGGCTAAGTAGTAGACAGACTGTCTATACGAGATATTGCTAGTCTCCTAGCCCGCGTTACTCACCTCGTAGCCTATGGAATAGGTTGCAAACGTCTGGATCCAATATGCTCCCGTAGGAAAAGTTCAAGTCGTTTATAATCATACATGACCGTGAAGGAGTTAAACACTATTAAGTCATGTCCTACTGTATATAGCAGTGAAAACCCGATACCAAAATGAACCCCGCAAATAGCACTAGCAAAGCATTATACCCGGCAACCTCCTAGGTCGCCTGACTGTTGCGCCGCGTAGCCCAATCATAAGCTCTATATCTTTCTAAATGACAATATCACGAGACCCATGGTTTAACCAAGGCAGATCATCATCCGTCTCAAATTTCAAGACGTCGCCTGTTTCCGGTGCTGCGCCCCCTTGCCCACAGACACACCAGAAGCAATCAAAGACAGGTCGACTTCGACCCCTTCGACCTCTGTAGCGCTAGTATGCTCTTCATTTGGCTTGAATCGCTTGAGAACAGCCCGTATCATCATGATAAACCAGTAGAAGTTTAGGGTGTTGAGAGTGATGTTTGATGCCAGATATGATACTGCAAGCCAAGTCGGGACGGTGGATTCCGAGGTCGCGTATTGCATGACGAGCGATTCCGAGAATGTCTTTGTAGGGTGGGCATTGACGGCGGCCCACATGTCGTTGAAGACGTAGAAGGACTGGAAAGTACCGTAAATAAGTCGGGCAGAAAAGAAAGTGAAGAGTAGGAGAATGCCGTTGTAAAGCTGTGCTTTAGAGCCCGTCATGTTGACCTTGTCAAAGAACCAGTGAATGTTGAGGAAGGGCGTGGATAGCTCCCATAGAATGAAGACGCATCCATAGTAGTTCACAAGAGGTCGCTACCGAGAAAGTTAGTAAGAGTCGGATCAGCTAGATCATCCCGTCACTGAGGGTACAACGCACAAAACCAAGTGTATAGACAAGCAGAGCTGCGATCGCGTGCGCCAAAGTTCCGAGCCCAAAGACATCCAGATTAGTGCTGGTCACGTATAGATCCCACACAAAATAACCAGCTGCCAATGCTTGGACCATGCCTGCAGCGCCAGTATAGCCCCATATTCTCTCCTCGGCATTCATGCTCTTTCTCTCTTGGTCTACTACCATGACCCAAATGGCGATGACGTTGATCAGCGTGCTCTGGATGAACGACACGACATGTGCATCCCAGTTCAGTCGTCTTTTTCGAGACAGCTTCGCGTAGTGCTGAGGCGCTATTAATCGTGACAGCAGTGGTGAAATCGGCCAGAAGATGACCGAATAGAAGACGGCGGATAAGAGGACTTCGTGGATGTGGTCTGGCAATGAGGGGAGGCCGAAGCGGTCACACCAGGGCCGCACCAGCTCGGCCAGCCATGGTATCGGCGGAATGAAGAAAGGGTCCCTCATCCTGAAAGAGTATTTCAAGTTCGAATTCGTTGCAAAATCACGAAAGATAGGGCATCTGTATTGAAGAGAAAATCGTGGAGATGGCGCTCGAAGAAGTAGGAAAGTGAATCTCCAGGGGCAGAAGGCAGCAATGTTATAGGGAGGGGTCTGGTCCCTTTGTTCTCAACAATTTATTCAGATAAGCGATAGCACAAGTCATGTTCGTCATACGGCGGTCTACAGACAAATTAGGTTCTATAATAGTGCCGAGGTACTCAGTACCTGCTGAGTAGTGGTATTGTTAGTGGGTGTCGAGTCTCATTTGATGGGATCACTTGGCGGTAGCAGCAGCACGCTTGCTGCAGGCATGGACGCATGCTAGCTGGAAGCGTGTAGATTGATTAATACCTTGTACTAGAGGACTGGGTAAATGCACAAATGGAATTCATGAGGCCTTGCATATTGGGGAGAAAACCTATCAATCTGAATCTGTATCTATCCATACCTAGATTCTCTAAATAGAATATTACCAGACATATCCCGGGTACTGCGTACCTACTATCTACCTGTGTACTTCGTATTTGCCAGCAGAGGCTTGCTATTAATCTGCTCTTTAATTCGGAGTACCTATTTTTACGCGTCAGTCGCTTCGCTGACTTTACACATCGCATTGGGGCGGGCTGCTAACGTGTGTACCGTGCCGTACCTGAAGTACAGGGGGGCATCCCTTACTCGCTCCAGACGCGGGCCAATACCGGCTAGGTACCTCGTACCTGCTCAGAGTACTAGCTGTGATGCGCCAGATGAAGGGAGGCTTGAGCCCACTCCATCATTAGGACCCAGCAGCTGGAAGTGACTTAGCACACGGCCGTCCGTGCTGGCTGCGGCTACTTGTTTATCGTCACCCTGTTTCATAGGGAGTCCGCCCGCCATCCCCAAGGAGCATCTTGTGCTCCTTGACCGTCAAGATGAATGGGGACCTGAGCCTTTCCCAGGCGCTCGGAGGGCTACGAATCGCCAACCCAGACGACTCTGATTCCGCTGATGCTGTCAATGCTCCCGCCGGCCACGACGACTCGAGACCGGCCGCACCACCAACGTTTGTCGTGCCCGGCGCTGGCCCTGCTGAGCCAACTCCAGCACCCGCTCCCGCTCCAGCTCCAGCTGCCCATAGTCAGCTGGACGTTCCTCATGCCCAGCCTCCACGCATCCTACACTCCTCGGACGGCCTGAGGCCAGACGGCCCGGATGCAGCAGCAGCAGCAACAGCAGGGTCTGGCTTTGCCGCCTCTGGTCCAGCAACACAATATCCCCGCCGTATTCCAAGCCAAAGGTCGAACCCTCATTTCCATCAAGAACCACAGCCCGTGATTTCTCGACAGCCGTCTCAGCGAGATGTTTCCTCTACCATGCCCCAGGGCTTTGCGGGAGATGCCCCTGTTCCGACAACCAGCGAGGAGTGGAAAGACCGCGGAGCTGCCGTCAGCGTACGCCGGGAGCTCGACAAGAGCGGCCGTCCTGTCGTTCGGCAGGTCAAAAAAGGAGTCCGAGACTTTTCCTTTGGCCGGATTCTTGGGGAGGGTTCATACAGTACCGTATATTTCGCAACCGACCGTCAAACGCTCAAAGAATACGCCATCAAGGTTTTGGAAAAGAGACACATCATCAAGGAGAAGAAGATCAAGTATGTTAATATCGAAAAGAACACATTGAACCGCCTCACAGAGCATCCGGGCATTGTCCGTCTCTACTACACGTTCCAAGACGAGACATCGCTCTACTATGTGCTCGATTTATGCAACGGCGGCGAGCTACTAGGCGTGCTGAAGAGAACCGGCACCTTTGATGTTGAATGCACACGATACTATGGGGCTCAGATCCTCGATGCAATAGAGTACATGCACTCTCGAGGCGTTATACATCGAGACTTGAAGCCAGAGAACGTGCTGCTTGACCACCAAATGCACGTCAAGATCACGGATTTCGGCACTGCCAGGCTTCTACCCGACCCTCGAACTACTCAGGATACAAAAGCCGATGGGGGCGATGGGCTGGATTCGGATAGTCGGAACGGCGATGATGGCCGCGCCGCCTCTTTTGTCGGAACGGCTGAGTATGTAAGCCCCGAATTGCTCACGCACAAGAATGCTTGCAAGGCTAGTGACCTGTGGGCATTTGGTTGTATCATCTATCAGTTATTGGCTGGGCGGCCGCCTTTCAAGGCCGGAAGCGAATACTTGACTTTCCAAAAGATTGTCAATCTAGAATATGAGTTTCCGCAGGGGTTTCCTCCTCTGGCACGAGACTTGGTCGAGCGATTGCTCGTGCTTGACCCTGCTAGGAGACTGACTGTAGAGCACATCAAGAACCATGAGTTCTTCAGTGGCCAGCAGTTTGGGAGATTCCTATGGAGGTCCAAAGCTCCACGACTGAGGCCCTACGTTCCTCCAACCCCAGAGCCAAACATCATCCAGCTCAACAACTTTTCGGCAACCCCTGGCTCAAATCCTCGACCGCAGCCATCAAACAACACGCCCGGCGGTGCATCAAATGGCAATAGCCGACCTGCCCGTATCATCACAGAATTACCACCCCCGACACAGCTAGACATTGAATGGTCACCTGTGCTTACAAAATCTAACGAACGGATTCTGAAGCTTGGGGATTTGATGGTGGTTTCTACGCCAATACCCAACGGATCTCATGGCAAAGGATCCGAGGAGGGCCATAGGAAATTGGCTCGGTTCTTTGGTGGAAGTACAACAAAGAAACGACAGAGACTTGTAATGGTCACCTCTAGCGGCCGCATTCTATTAGCTCCAGCCGGAGGTGAAGAAAAGAGAGCAAAACAGGAGCTGTCACTTCTGGCTCCTGACACCACGTGGAAAACCCATCAAGATGCTAAAGGCCAGCATGTATGGTGTCTCGATACGGTAAGTTTGCCCAAAAATCTCTTTTTCTTTCACAATCTGAATACATACATATATATATATTTGTATATATGAGTACCCATATGTTTACCAGTCACGATGCTTACAAGCTTTATAGGGTGGTCAACATTTTACCTTTGAGGAAACTAAATCATCGTCCAACTCAGCAGGCGATCTTGCGTTTGCTGAGGAGTGGATTGAAAGCCTAGAGAGAGCCAGGGACATGGCAATTTCCCAGACTTTGACGGCCGATAACTCATTTGGCGAGATATCTTCGACGGTATCAACGCCATCCAGCACTTTAGTCGGTAGGGGGAATGGCTCTGACGGCTTCTCAACCAGCGATCGATCTGCACGTGGGCATTTGACCAAAGGCCAGGCGAGCATCGAGGATGCCACACCGGCAAAAAGAAATCGGTTCAGCAAAAGACAATCGCGCAATGGTCTGGGGCCTGCATTTTAAGTACAGGCAAAGGATGCTGGGGAAAGCTAACCGAAATGGAAGAGTTGTCGATTTCTTGAGCAATTTCTTCACTTCAGGCATTCTGACTTGGGTATGGTTTTATCATGCTATACTGTGTGGAATGTCTACTTGAAGCACGCGGCGTGCCATATAAATATTCATTTTCGTCATTCAGAGCGAAACCAGTCGCAGCGCATCTGTCTTTTCTTATTTGTTTTGTTTTCTCTCTTGAACATTGGATGGTAGAATGGGTATGGCGAAGAGCTCGCTGCGCTGCAGCAAAAATGTTATCGCTGGGATTTCCCGGCATTGATTTATTGCCTTTTTTCCTCGTCATTAATAGCTTGGGGGGCTCTCTTTTTCCAGGTCAAGTTAACCGAGGTCGCCGTTTCATCTGTATGGCGTCTTGTTTTTTATTATTTATTTTTTTTTTTCATTTATTAAAAACAAAAGATGTAGACCTGGCATAGTAGACGGCGCGATATTCCTGGGGAGGGGGCACAATATACATAAACACTAAGCGAGGATAAAACGAGGTATGTTTGCCTGCAGTATATAGGCTTTAATACTGATTTGAGATACAAAGTAATACACGTTGCACGTTGAGGTTGTAAAAGTATTAGTGTTGTTATTATTAATATGGCTGTCCACTATTGATACAACTGTTACTCCTTGCTGCCCCTTTCTTTTCTTTTCTTTTCTTTTCTTTTCTTTATCCAAGCTGAGTCTTGCCAGCCTCGTGCAGCAAGTTGAGCATCCATATCGATTGTAGTTTCTAGTAGCGCCTGACCAATGGCACTTGACGGCCACGTCTCGTGTCGCCTCGTGCTAAAATACTAGTAGCCCGCCCATGGCCTAAACACCGCTAACAGGTGTCATCAGGCTCTCGGCGGAATGCAGCCAATGCCAGTGCCGGCACGAAACGCATCAGGCTATCAAGGGTCTTTTAGGCTCACCAACCAGGTACATACCACCTACAGTACTGCTAGGTCAACTTGCTAAGAGTAGCATTGTACCAGCATCAGCTTTTCCTTGTCGCTGCGAGAGTAAGAAAAATCGCGCCGCAACCGGAGGCTTAAAATCCAACCTTCGTCATATCTGCAGAAAATACTCCTAGCGCTTCTAGGTGGTGGAAAAAAAAGAATATGATGGCTGCTAAATGAGAGATTTGGGTCCGTTATGACTCGAACGTAGCTTGAGAGTCCCACCTTGGCTCTGCGACTACTTTTGCAACGTCGTTCTCCGATTTTAAAGTGTCAATTGACGATATCGTTTCTCTTGATTTGCACCTTGTAGTCAACTATCGTCGCAACCATGGATCTCGTCAACAGGTAAGCCAAAGCCAGATATCATAACCCGTTTTTTTGCCCTTTCTCTTTTTTTTTTTGTTCTTTCTTTCTTTCTTTCTTCCTTCTTTCACTCTCTCCTTGTACTTTGTAAAGCAATCTACTAATACTCTTGTCTGCCTCAGTCTCGAAGGACGTCTGCTCTTTGCGGTACCCAAAAGTTAGTCTTTGGCTGCGCACACAACCCTGCCAACCGTGTCTGAATCCAATCAACCCGCAAAACAATTGCATTGTCGCTGACCAGTCCGCTCGTTTTGTCCTACCGCAGAGGGCCGATTGAACGCAGCTGCGTTGAACCTTCTAGAGGGCGCCGATATCCAATTCCGCCGCGAGAACCGCCTCGACATCGCCCTTGTCAAGAACCTCCCCATCGCCCTCATTTTCCTGCCTGCGGCGGACATCCCCACGTTTGTCGGCCAGGGCCGCGTCGACCTTGGCATCACGGGATGGGACCAGGTCAAGGAGCACGATGCTGCCGTCAAGGCCACCACCAGCGAAGATCCGTCGTCCCCGGTCTCGGGCAGCGAGATGGTCATGGACCTCGAATTTGGCGCGTGCAAGCTGCAGGTTCAGGTCCCAGAGAAGGGACAATACGCCACCAGCACAGACCTGATTGGACGCACAATTGGTACGAGTTTTGTCAGCCTGACTGAGGAGTACTTTGCCCAGCTGGAGGCACAGGCAAGCGGAGCTGCGCCTCAGAAGCTGCGGACCAAGATCATTGAGCTGAGCGGCAGTGTCGAGGCAGCTTGTGCGCTGGGTGTCGCCGATGGCATCGTGGATCTTGTTGGTAAGTTGCTTCTTCTTTTTGTTCTTCTTTTAGTGCCTGCACGAAGGCTCTACAGCATTCAAAGCAGAAGCATGAGCATGAACATGGCAACTAACTTTGCGCAGAATCAGGAGAGACCATGAGGGCTGCGGGACTCAAGGCCATCGACACCGTTGTCGAGTCGGTGGCCGTCCTCATCAAGTCGCGCTCACCGTCCAACACCGACCTGGTAGACCTCATTGCGGCACGTATCCGCGGTGTCATCACTGCCCAGCGATATGTTCTGTGCCAATATAACATTGAGCGGTCGAGCATCGCTGCGGCCACGCAGATCACACCAGGAAAGCGTGCTCCCACAGTCACATCACTGGATGATGGCTGGGTTGCTGTGAGCTCAATGGTCGAAAAGAAGAAGATTGCCCTCGTCATGGATGACTTGAAGCGAGTGGGAGCCCAGGATATCCTTGTCCTGGACATCCACAACACACGATAAATGCGTAATGGGAAATGAGAACTGCATAAAAGAGGAAAGATAGAAAAGTTTCACGGTGGAAAGGAAAAGGAGGAGTACCAAAAGGCGTCATGGCATAGATTCATAACAGCTGACCAAAAATAAATATACACACTTTCAAGTATTTTTTTTCTGCCCCAAACCATATTCTTTATCTTTCATTCAAGTCATCCCATACATAAATGGGTAAAAAAATCTAGGCCGTCTAAACCTAGGGTAAGTCATCATAGCGATAGGAGCTTCTGTCCGTAGCGCGCAAAGTCGTGCTGCGTCGGATGCTATCAATCCATACCGACCCGTCAAGCATGTCCTGAACCGATGCCAGGTTGCTGTTATCTGCCGGGCGTTCAAGCTCTGCTGCGGTCGTATCCTGGATATCAGGTGTTTCTAGCTCAAAGCTGAAAGTTGAAGAGCCCCTGGGTTCCTCGTTTATCGAGAGTGACGAGCGAGGCAAACCAAGGGGGTGGCTTTGTGTAGTGGTGCCTGATGCCGTATTACCATGCCAGCTTAGCTTTCTTTGCTCGTCCGCGCCAGTATCAACACCAAATTGGCGCATCTTCGCTTCGGCATCTCCGGACATGAGGCCTTCGTCATCCTCGACAAAGATATCTGGGATTCTGAGCTGCGGAATTGTTGTCATGCGAGAAGCTCTCTTTCGCTCCATGTGCTCTTTAAACTTGCGCGAGTAATATCTAAGCCAATATAGTCAGCTCACTGCTGTGGACATCAAGTATATCTGTAGTAAAAAGTCACTGCGGTCACTTACAGCGTGTCAAAGAAGCCCTGTACGATTCGCCGTCGTATCCCTTCGTCAACACGTTGCAGGCGCGCACGGCGCCGCAAAAATTCCTCTAGTCTGTTATTCGTTAGCGAAATTGAACCTCTTCGAAAGCAATCAAGGGTAAGTGGTAAGAATCACTTTAAACTCTTGCTATCGTTTATGATGTTGTAGTGAGCAAGTATCATTAACACATCGGTAAAAGCAATTCCCTTGTCGGGGTCGGCGCTTACGAGGACTTCCTCGTAAAATATATTAAATCGATGGCGCCGTTTGCGGATTTTCTTTATGTCCAGCTGGGATAGTCGTTCGTTCAGCCGATTAATGTCAACGTCGTTGAGCGCAGCCACCGAAACAATGGAAGTATGGCGAGACATTCTTGTGTCTTCCCGCACATCCTCCAAGATTTGCCGAACAGAATCGTCTGCTTCGTATATCCGCATTTGGAAAACCCCGGAGAGCTCACCGAGCAGGCGTGGAAAGGCCTCTTTTGTGATGTAGCCAGTCCCGGCGGGGTCTACGCTCCGCCAGGCCTCTTTAAATCGTCGTATCTCATCGCGATCCACAACGGCCATGCCAGATGAGCGCTGGTAAACATAGCTAAAACTCTCGAAAATGAGTGAAACAAACAGATTCACAAAGATGTACATGCTGACAATATTCCAGGCGATAAATAAGAATCTGGCCCATGGCTTGCTGCCACAATCGCTGTCGAAGAAGTTGTCAGTCTCAACGCAGAGGGGCGATTCAATCCCCGCGTAATCTTCCATGATTTGATTCCATCCTTCTCCCAGACTCATTCTGAACAAGAATATCAGAGCCATTGGAACTGTCCTAAAGTTGATGTAGCTTCCCTCATTATCACCGAAGCGAGTTAGGCTAAAGGTCTGCGTCATTGCGATAGCAAAGACAAGGAAAAAAACAAACCAGGTAGCCAAGAGGTTGCTGATGACCGGCAGACTTGCTGCGGCCGTCTTGAATAGTTGATCCAGCGCATCGTTCCTGGGAATCAACAGGAGAACAATGGCAACCAGAAATATCTTGTGAAGCTGCACATATGTATCGGCTCTACTGTCTGCAATTAGTAGTGCAAGTGTGGCAACGAAGGCACCCGATACAGCTACTAGAGAGTAGAGGTCCCAAGAGCTCCGCCTGAAACGCGTCCATCCCAGTCCTACTATCCTAATCGTGATGTTGGTAATGTAGATCAGAATAAAGAGCAAGAATATGTATTCTCGGGTTGTCGTCCACCACGACGGCTCATTGTTGAATTCTGCCACTAGCAAGAGCAGGTGCAAAACCAGAACAACCGTAACCGCCTGGTACCATTTTCCTCTTTTTTCAATGGCTCTCTTATGGCACCATTTCTTCCACTTGTTTTCTGAATCGTCGTACGAGCTTTTTGATGGAGAGATATGACGCAAGAGCTTTCGCAGCTCAAGCCACGATCGCTGCTCTGCCGTGAGGAACGCAACTCCGGTCTGCTCTGTATAATTTCTCATGAACACGGAGATGAAGAGCGTAAGAATGAAGACAGTGGCTAAGAGGTTGAAGACAACAAAAAACATTGCGTTCCCCTGGTTTGCTAGGTCTTGTGGCTGCATGCCGAGGCCTGTAATCGCCTGAGCTGCGAATGAAACATCCACCCATCCTTCTTGGCTGACGATCTGGAACAGCGTGAAAAGCGACGAGCCAAAGTCATCAAAGCCAAAGTACGGGTTCGATGCCACTCTTGGCGCTAGCATCGGCCAGTCGTTGGAATAAGGGGTGCTGTTGAATTCGCCAAAACACTGAGTCAGGGTAGAGATGTTATCGCCAGAATCATTGCAGGATACCAGTAGTCCATTGAATAGGTTTAGGCCGTAGATGGCAAATGGGATCAGGAGAGATATAGACACAAACGCAGCCTAGACTCATGTTAGCAGTCTTGCAGCAGAAGAGGCCGAATATAACGCATGTACCTACACCTAAAAGTTTCCACCATCCGACGATAATCAGTGAGTGGAACGTATCACGGGTGCTGTCGCTTACGTTCAGTAGCCGCAGCGCTCGAAGGGCCTTGAAAGCACCCAACGCTCTTGAGATGCCACCGTCATCAATCAACAGTGTTACTACATTGATCCACAGGGTTATTAACACAACTGCGTCAATTATGCCCCACGAGCTGCGTAGGAAGGCATTGGGCGTCCATAAAAGACCATCTGCAATTATCTTGATGGCTGCCTCGAGGGTAAAGATCACAGCGAAGGCCAGGTCTGTCCAGATGTACCATTGGGTCACGGTGGATGGATGCTGCTCTCGATATTCCTTCTGATAGAGCGGAGTTGTAACGCAAGCTATAACAACCATTGCAAACACGGACGCGTAAATAAAGCCCGATATCGAGTACCAGGCTATCCTGTTTGGTTCAACTCCGTCAAAGCGTTCGAGGCCCCTAGCTGGGCCTACAAGGCTTTGGCAAAGGCGTCTGACGCGGCTGTTGGGGGGGAAGACGTATAGTGATGTATTGTATCGGGGATTTTGAGCGAGATAATCTCGCTGAGCTTTCCGGCGAGCTGACGTTGCCGATACCGCCTGTCGGGCCATTTGCCGAGGATCCAAAGTGCCATTGGGGCCGTCGAAGCGAAGATTTGAGTAAAATGGATTAGGTCCGCTCTTATTGAACCGAGCCCATATCTTCTTTAGGAAACTCGGCTTGCCGTCTCCCATCAAGTTTGTAGTACTCCGCTGTGGTCGATTTCTATGCTCTGGGTGCAGACGAAGAGGGTCAGCCACTTCATCGTCTAAGAACTCCTGTACCACAGTGTCTTTAAGAAGCATTTCCATCATGCCCGGGCCATAGTCTAAAGGATCCTTGCGTCGGCGAGATTTTCCAAAGCTGAAAATCGTAGACAGCGTAAGGTTATTGGACGTACGCCCGAGTTCCTTCCTCTGGAGAAAAGCCTTTACTTGCTCTAAACGTTTCTCATCTTCCGACACGTCAAAATTTTCTTGAATAACAGCAATAAACATGTTGATCAAGATAAAGAATGCCAAGATAAACCACCCTATCAGGAATATCGCTCCAATCCAAGCGGTTTTCAGCGCTTTTGTATAAGAAGTGACAGAGTATAGAATGGCAGTCCAGTTCTCGCTGGAGAGTATTTGGTACATGCCGAGAAAGGAGTTGAACATGGTGTTGAATGAGATGCGATTTAGTTCTCCATCGTCATAAACAGGTATTTGTCCTCTGAACAGCTGTGCGGCCAAGATTGCGACCAAAAAGGTCATCAAAAATACAAACAGCATTAGATTACCAATACCAGCCGCACTGCCAAGCACCAAAAGTATGAGCTTTCGCGTCACAGGTATCGCCAAAACAAGTCGGTACGCTCGAAGAACTTGAAAGACAGTCAGCCAGGCATACACACGGGAATTGTGGATTGCTGGTATGAGGATAATGGAATCGATTATAGCCAAAGCTAGATCAAAGATATTCTGCCAGCTTCGATGGAACGCGCTCCAATAGGCCACAATTCGTATGATGATTTCAACATCAAGTAGTATAGTGGCAACAATCTCAGCTGCATCGATATATCTTCTCCGGGAATCGGACATGGATGCGCTACGGCACGCCTCACTAAGTAAAGCGAAGGCGACCACAAGCAACCAAAACAGCGATGTCTTTTTATACAGTTGCTGAGGAGGTGAATCTTTTCGCTTGCGCTCATCTGTATGTGGTTGGGCGGACGGTTCTGCTTCAACAGTAAAGGCACTCGATTTGCTTTCTTCACGAATGACCTGAAATGATGAGGTGATGACAGCTATTAGCAGGTTGGTTAGCCACAACATCATAATCATGATGGCAGCACCAAAGAACAAAGCCGCCTGAGGATAGTCTGAGTTCATAGTATAGTACATTAGGTCAGAAAATGTGTTGGCACTCATTAGGACGAATACCAGTTCGAGAGATTGGACAATGTTGTCAAAGTTGACTGTCCCATTATAAGGGTTGTCTTGTTGCAGACATATTGAGCCTCTGGGGCACAAATACCCCTTTCCTTCGGTAGTGCCCTTGACTAGGTTTTCTAGAGATCCTGCAGCACTGAATTTCACCCAAGGTAGTGTGGCACCAGTCACATTATCCAAGTAGCCACCACAGAACTGCATACTGTTGGTGAAAGAGGCCGTTAGATTGCTCGGATCCAATGGATCCAACCAAACGCACTGCCGACTCAAGCTCGATTTAAAACTCTGTATACCGATAATGGCAAAAAGGAGCCAAAAGAAGCTGATGAGAAACGCTACACGGACAAGGAGAGGGGCTGCCTTTTTCAAGCTTCTTAAAATAATCTATTTGGTATAAGCTTGGCATCACACCAGGTCAAAGTATAGATGCTAGTACTTACTGCAGTGCCGTGAGTAAGAGCCAGCAATCTCAGAATACGGAGACAACTCAGCATTTGAAAGAGATAGAAGTGGTGTCGGTTCTCAGTGCCAGTCATAGCCAGCACAAAAGTAATCCAAAAGGAGACCACAGCAACAAAATCTAAACGATTAAATGAGTGCCGCAAAAAGGCTCGACGTGCTAACTGGAACCGTTGCTGGTCCTCAACCGTCTTGGGGCCGGTTTGTTGCCCCTGCATCAAAGTCGTAAAAGAACGGGCGAATGCTGGGGCCTGAGGCTGGGCAGACCGAACTCTTTTAGTTGACCTTTGCCTCTGTGGTTGAAAGATAGATTTATATCGATCGGCAACCGCTGCTCGGATGCCCCTCTTGCGATCAATGGTGCTATACTCCTCTGCATTCAATATAAAGCCAGATACCACAATCCTAGCCATAATCTCAAGTGTGAATATAATGAACAGCGCAAGCATTGTCCAATCTATTGGTCTGTTACCCCATTGCTCGGGTCGCGCATTTCCCGGGCTGAAAACATCCGGCCAGGATTCTACGGCAAGTAGAATTGTTTGGGAAACAATAAGTATAAGGATAAAAGGCTCAGTGTAGGGATTAACAAGTAAATCACACATCCATAATCTAAATCGACTTTCTGGAGAGAAGATTCCCAGTGACTTTCCTCTCAGGGGGTTGGGAGCCTTTGGGCGAGCCGGTGAAGGTAATCGAATTGGGATTTCAGTGGTTAAGAAGGTGTTTTGAGCGGCTTTCTCTGCCGGAGATGAAGTTGCTCGAGAATAATACGGCTCATCGACATACGTTGATAATGTTGGATTGGGCCGCCTTTCGTTTGACGATTCGCGAGACCGTGAGTGATAGCGAGAGGACCGCTGGTCAGCAACATCCGACTCTCCACTGAGATTCACAACTCTTTGTGACATGGCCCTCACAATTGATCCGGCGCGCTGGAAAGCTCCAGCTGTTGAAGCTGATCGCGATAAGCGAAAATCGCCAGGATCTAGCGTCAAGCCATAGCTTTGGTGACCGCCAGGTGAATAGCCAAGGTTAGAACGGTGTCCAAGGCCCTTTCCTTCATGGTCCCGAATTGGATTGCTATCGAGGTCGCGGACAGTTTGAAAACTCTCCCTGCCATGGTCGTCTCCAGGGTGAGAGCCAGAAATCGGTTGCACTCCCGCTGTGAGTGGAACTCTATCAGAATCTGCGTAATAGGGATTCGTCGACTCTTCGACATATTGTGACCCTCCATCGAACGAGTGATAGGAGTCTGGAGGGAAGCGTGGAGATTGTGTCAGTGGCGGAGGAATATCAGGAGGTAGCGCTGCCTGCAGTGCCGTAGGGTCTATATGAGACTCGAAACTAATGCGATCATCGGGAGAGCTATACGAAGTATGCCAGTAGGACGACAGTCCAGATTCGCCTGGTGATCGGGTCGTAGATTCATCGCCGGGACGTTGCTGGGAGTCGCCAATCCCATACTGGTTATCTCGAGAACTGGTGGCGTGTAAGCCTATCGGCGGCGGGCGGGCGCTGCCGTCGTCTGGCAGCTCGGAGGACATTATCACAGCCTTCCCGGCTTTCAAGGCAATATACCTAGGTAATAATCGTAGCAAGGACTATACATCACGGATAGAGCTTCACAGCTAACATCCTCGCGGGGGTGCGCATGGATAGCAGTCACTGTAGAGACCGGTATCAGATAAGAATTTAAGGAGACGCAACACGGCTTGCGATTAAAAGGGTCGTCTTACCTATAGAAGTTATTAATAGCAACCTATATTAGAGACTAGGTAGTCATACGTTAACCTGTCTACTATTATATGGAGAATGGAGGCGTAGCGTCGCGAGACAGTTTCATCTTCGCAACCACGCAGGTAGGTACCTAGTACCAGTACCTAGTCCTTAATAAAACCCACTTTAAGCATTTCCATTTAATTAATAAGATAAGGCATCCTTATGTTAAGTAAAAAATCTATTAGTAAAATATTACTATTTTAATTTATATATATGTATTAATATATAAAGGAATTAATAATAAAAATTATTATTTTTATAATAAGCTAGTAAATCGTACGTTGTATTAAAAACACCTAGGTGCATTGGTATGCATGCTACCTAATACGGGATGTAGCCACTTGCACCAGGGGTCCAGCAGCCTAGGTCGGTAGTCGACCCGCGGAGGAGACCCATTCCTAACGTCAGCCAATACAACATCCAGCTCCAACATTCATTCGCCATCTACTATTACTACAAGAACTACTCACCACGACAATATGAGGTACCTGTGGTTTATTGCGGCTTTAAGTCTTTTTCAGTCGGGCTCTGCTGTTGATCAGAAGAAGTCAGCCATCATTTGGTTCGATAATCCAGCTACTCCAGCCTCTTTCATGGACCAGGTGAAGGACAGTATTTTGAAAGCCGGAGGTAAAATCACACATACATACACTATCATCAAGTACGTCTTACGTCTCCTTGGTTCACGGGGTCTGAATTTGCCGTTGACTTTATCATAGTGGGTTTGCCGTAATCGCACCAACGAATGCGCTTGCCTCCGTTCAAGCATTAGGCGTGGAGCACTCGGTTCGTGTGGAAGAAGACGAGACAGTATCAACTCTCAAGTCATGACGGCAGTATTTCAGCCAAATGCACCACATATGATGGTGATGGAGAAATGTAAGTCTTATTAAAGGCTTCTTTTCAAATACTACGATAATGCAATTAATTACATACTATAATATATAATAATTTCTTTTTACGTCAGTGGATTTATGTCTGGGCAATACAGCCTAGGTATCACTATCTGATGACTGGTTTAACGACAAGTGAAACAGGGAAGGTGCATTATACGTTAGTACTTCTTTTCTTCCACCACTAGTAACCTACACCCAAGCTTGCCACTACCCATCCACGGCTCTCCAACTCTGGGACAACCGCCGCCGCCAAGGTATTCCAAGATGGATGCTACTAAAGGCGCTGCGTCTGATCAAGAAGCTGGGCTTCCTCCTCTCAGCGAGTCCATTCTAGCCATCGATGTCAAAGATCGGAGCATCCTAGGATGCAGCCTCTTCTCCACTGCAGACGGCACCTTGAAGATAGGTACTGACATCTCTATGGCGGGCGAAGATGTGGTGGAGCAGTTTCTCAGCTTTGCGCAACCAACCACTATTCTGGTTTCACGGCGAGTCCCGGAATCAATTGTTGCCTTTATTGAAAAGCATGCTGAAAAGAGTGACAAAGGTGAGTATTTCCTGGCTTGGTCCATTATCTTGTGTGGCTGCTCCGTTTCCGTTTCTCATATCAACGTGACCTAGAAATTCGTTTCCGCCTGGCGTCTCCCTCTGACTTCTCACACACATTGGCCTGTGAAGAACTGTCATCGCTCGACACATCATCTGTCAACGTGGATAGTCAATATGTTGAGTGCAGTATCCAGGCTCTACAGGAATGCAACCGCCAAGAGTCTCAGTGCATGAAGCTGGTCCATTGCAGCTCTTCAATTGACCTCGACAACATCACATCCGTAAGTGTCCATCCTTTTAGTATCCAGTACCCAGATGAGTGCTCAGATCATAACCAGCTGGGCTGCGCAAGTGCTATTCTCAAATACCTACACCGACGGCGGTCACTCGTATCTCCGTCTAACAGTTCCAGCGCGGGATATATGCTTGATGTGAGATCTGTTACGCTATTCAATTTGGCAGACTATGTTTTCATCAGTGAAGAGTCCAAACTCTCCCTACAAATCATCAGCCACGAATCGCATCCCAATAAGACCGCTTGGAATGTCGATTCCAAAAGTTCAGCTGAAAAGGAGAATCTCTCTGTTTATGGTTTATTTCATCCGCTGGCCTCCACACCGCAGGGTCGGACTCACCTGCGCCACATCTTCCTTAGGCCAGTGTCGAATCTTGACATCCTCTCTCAGAGACAGCGAACGATTGCACTGCTCCTCCATCCCAGTAATGAGGAAACAAAAAAACGTGCCATTGATATTCTACGGAAGATGGGAAATGTAGCACATGCAATCGCTCATCTCCGTAAGGGAATCAGCTCTCCATCTTCCAACAAGGCGTTCAGTATTAGTGTATAGGGTACACTAAAAAGATTCGTATCTCGATTGCTTGAATTAAGAGAAGTCGCGATTGCTTTCTCTTCCAATGCAGACCAGGATGATATTGTCAACAAGGTAAGAATCTTGATTTATCTTGCGCGCCAGTTCTAATAGCCCTCTAGATAATCGGCAGAATTGTCCCAGTATCTCTAGCTCTGGTAGGCGACATGATCGACAGAGTCATCAACTTTGACGAGGCCAAGTCCCAGAAATATTGTTCAGTTAGACCTGGTGTGGATCCCGAATTGGACGCGTTCAAACGACAATACGATGGCATGAATAGCTTCTTGGCAGCAGTAACCAGCCGTGTTGCTGAAGATTTGCCAGTGTGGGCGCGTCAATACATCCGGTCATGCGTTTTCCTTCCCCAGCTTGGATTTTTAACCGTAGTTGAGCAGGAGTTTCCATTAGAAAACGACATGTTCAATGGCGAAAGTGTAAATGACAACTCATGGAGAAAATCTTTCGCTGATAAAGGAACGACCTATTATAAAAATCGTCATATGGATGATCTAGACAGACATCACGGGGATATGTATTCCAAGATAGGCGGTAAGTTTCATAACGCTTTGTATAACCACGGTTATGCTAAGATTCAACCAGATAAGGAAGTTGAGGTGTTGCAAAAGCTGGCTACAGATGTCATTGTTCACGAGAAAGCTCTCTTGGAAGCTGCAGACTTATGTGGAGAATTTGATGCACTTCTAGCTCTTGCCATCGGCGCTGCAAACTATGGCTGGCATCCCCCCAAGATGACAGACGCTAATGTCATTCATATCAAGGGTGGGAGACACCCACTTCAAGAGCTACTAGTGCCATCGTTTGTGCCAAATGACTGTTTCGTTGGGCAAGAGAGTATGGCCCATGGACGAGCGACCCAAGCCCTAGTTCTGACTGGTCCCAATCAATCAGGGAAAAGCGTCTATATCAAGCAGATTGCCATAATTGTTTACCTGGCGCACATCGGGAGCTATGTGCCAGCCGAAGAAGCTGTGATCGGCACTGTGGATAAAATATTAACTCGAATGCCGTCACAAGAAAGCGTTTCCCGTGCCGGGAGTGCATTTGCTTTAGATCTTAAACAAGTCTTTCAAGCCATGAAATACTCTACGTCGCGGAGCCTGGTTCTCATGGACGAATTCGGAAATGGGACTGTGGCCGATGGCGGTGCTGGAATGTTTACAGCGATGCTGGACTGTTTCCTTTCTCCCGCAACGGCTATACCAAAACTGGTGGTTGCCACACACTTTCATGAAGTGTTTTCAAACGGTTATCTGAACAAGCATAGCCAAATCTCGTGGATGCACATGGATGTGAGGACTAACATGGATGCTACTCATGCAGAGGATAAGGTCACTTACTTATTTCAGCTAATTGATGGGTATAGCTCAATAGGTTTAGGAAGCCAGTGTGCGATATTAAATGGAATACCTAAGGATATAACTAACCGAGCGGAAGTAATAGGGGAACTAATAAGTCAAGATATAACCTTAATGTATAGTAAAGCATTTTTTCCTAGTCAGAAAGAAAATCTAGGAGATATAAAAACAATTATAAAAGTTTTTATAAACTTAGATTTAAGTTTATATAATACTTATATAAATAGCTTTATTAATAATTTAAATTAATAATATAAAATCTTATTTATTTATAATTAATTAAATTCTTTATTTATTTTATAATTAACTTTTTTATTTATTTTATAATTAAATTCTTTATTTATTTTATAATTAAATTCTTTATTTATTTTATAATTAAATTCTTTATTTATTTTATAATTAAATTCTTTATTTATTTTATAATTAAATTCTTTATTTATTTTATAATTATATTCTTTATTTATTTTATAATTATATTCTTTATTTATTTTATAATTATATTTTTTAAATATTTTATAATTAAATATTTTATAATTAAATATTTTATTTATTTTATAATTAAATATTTTATTTATTTTATAATTAAATATTTTATTTATATATAATTAAATTATTTTCTCTTAGGTATAAAGAAATAAAGTTATCCTAAGCTATTATAAAGCTACCTTACTATATTAAAAAATTTTAAAGTTAAGGTTTTATATATTATAATAAGCCCTTATTAATTAAATTATACCTAATAATTAAATTTCTTTTATTTTCTAAGGAATTATTAAAGGCTTTTATACCTATAAGCTAGCTTTTATATTAATAACTTTATTATTATTTTAGTATTATATTATTAAATTATTAATAAAAAACTTTATTTTTAATATAAAAACTTTATTTTAAGCTTTATAATTAATTTTAATTATTTAATATTATTAATATTATTAAACTTAATAAAGTTAAATATAAAAAATTTTAAAAATATTTTTATTTACTTAATTATTAAACTAAGGGCTAGGTATAATTTTCTTTTATATTAGCCTTTATAAGTTTTTTAAACTTATATAGTTATATTAAAATTAAATTTTAATTTATTTATTTTTTATTATTTTTTAATTTTAATTTCTTTCAATTAAAGTTAATAGTAACTATTATAGTAATAATAATAAAAATAAATATTATTTTTTTATTAAAAGTAAATATTTATATTTAAAATCTTTATATTTATATATTTATTTAAATAAATTATAAAGTATTTCTTATAGTTTTTTTTATTATTTTTTTTTACTTTAATTAATAATATAATTATTATTTTTATTTTTAAATTAACTTTAAATATAAAACTATATTAATTTTTAAGTATTTAATTTAATAATTATTATATAAAAGCTTATATATTATATATTTAATTAGCTTTTATTAATATTAATAATAGTAATATACTTTTTTCCTTATATATTAAGTTTTTTAAATAATTTTTTAATTAAATAAATATTATTAATATTTATTAAATAAGTATAATTATTTAAGTTAAGTAAGTAAAATAAAGAACATAAGTATAAATATATAAATATAATAAATAAAAAAAAATATTTATAAAAAAAATATTTTTTAATAAATATATATATTTTTTATTATATTATATATATATTTAAAATTTATTATTAATTAATATTAATATATTTAATATTATTAATTATATTAATTTTAAATTTACTTAAGTTAATAATTAAACTTAAATATTTATCTTAAAAATAATTTAAATTTTTTATATTTTTAATTTATTAAGTAATATATTTACTATAGAATTATTTTATTTATATTATTAAATAAAAAATTTTAATATTTAAATTAATTTTTATTTTTTTATTTATTAAATTTTTTTATTATTATATTTTATTTATTTTATAAAATATTTAATTTATAAGTACTTTATTTTTTTATTTATTTAACTGTCATAACCTATCTCTTATAGTTACACTAACAGGCCTATAGGGTAAGCGGAACCGGAATAATATAAGTCCAGGCGTCTAATTAAAAAAAAATTATTTAAATTACTAATAATCCTAATAATCTTAACTATAAATTATTAATTTAACTAAATAATTTATAATAAAAATTATTAAATTCCTTAATAATTTAAATAT